GGATCAAACGAGCAGAGGTCTGACAGGAGGAAAAGTCCTGCTTGCATAAAGACTGAATACTCCACATCTTCCATAAATGAAGTAAAACAAGTAGGATAAGAAAGATCTGGAAGTAAAATGGTGTCGAAATTTTACACCTTTTTTTTAACAAAAATAAAAATAAAAATTGGATACTGGCAAGGAATTTAATTATCCTTTACAGACTCAACTACAAAGATATTTTTATGGTTTAAAGGTTTAAACCATTTTTTTAAGGTTTAAACCTTTAATCTTGCTAGATTGCTTATATGTGTAACATGCCTTTGGTATACACTGCATTCCTGTATCTCCAGAGGCTCAGCAGATTCAAGCAAAAATTGTGTGTTTGGCTTAATGCAGAGTACTTCAAAACAATAGGTATGATACAGTGTTTAATGAAAACTGTATTGTTGCATCATAGGTTGCTAGTCTCATAATAGCAAAATGAAAAGGCGGTAGAATTATTCCCCCTCCTATCTGGGGCAAAGGCACTTTCCCAAAAAGTAGAAAGCCCTGATTCAATTCCCTTCTCTCCTTTGTGGGACTTGCAGCAGCATCTCCTTACTCCCAAGATGATGACCTAATAATCAAGCTGTAGGAAATTCTGCAGGGATATGATCTTAATCTCTCCTTTTGACACCATTTCACTACGCATTAATAATTAAATTTTCATTACTGGGCTGCTGATGAAAAAGGGAGGGTGGTACTGGTTCCACTACTTTTACTGTGAATCCAATTCTTTTCTATTGCTTTCCTCAATAGTCTGCAAAGATGAAATATTAAGTTATAAGTCACATGAAGTGTCATATTTAATATGGAAGTACTTGGTTTTTCTTCTAAGGAAAACCGAGATTCATATTTTACTGTTTTGTTTTTTGAACTTTTACTTCCAATCTCAAAAATACAAATATTGTCACAAATCTAGCTCTGGTCAAAAGTATCTTCTGATGATGGTATTCAAATTGTGACTAAATCAGACCCCCAAAAGCCAAATAAGACATTTACAGACTGTTCTTTACTGCTGTAATACTGATTACTGAAGAGCAGATCTTTAGGATTTTTGCCCAATGTTCTGTAGATGGTAGTTTAATCAGGTGTAGCATATACAACATCTGTGAAATACAATATTTCTGCATAAGCTGTTACAAAATGTTATTTCTCACATGGGTCATATTGTCTTCCTAATGGGAACCTATGACTCCTATAAATTGTAACAACACTTTTGGACATGCATTGAGAGAACAGACATTGAGCCTGTATCAAGGGAAGTTTTTCAGACAGACCTTGAGAACTAGAAATCAATGTGTGTGAGGGGGAAGCTTTTCTCTTAATGTAGCTGAATAAGAAAATTCAGAAAACAGGAACATGAAAATATAATTTTCACTGTACTATATGCTTTGTTCAATTTGAAGTCCACTTGAAGACTCTATACCAGGCACAGAAGTTTCCTGAAGATCTTTAGTTATTCATAGGTCTCATGAAAGAAAGAATGTTTGCATCGACAAAATGGCTTTTTAGGAAACAGAGCACTACCATTTAATTCCCAAATATATCTTATTTTTGTATATAGATTTCACTAGCCAATATTGTATTTCAAATGTCCCTAAACAGGACTGCAAACTCACCTGAGCATCTTCAAATGTGTATCTTCCAGGGTCCTTTACATTCTGCGTGGTTTTGTCATAACTTTTTGAATCTAGATTGATAGCGCTGGGTGCACCTGGAGCAAGAAATTCTTGCCAGATTTCTTGGACGCGCGCAGGAACTTCACGGATAGGCCTCTTCTTCAGGTCTTCTACCGCTAACCAGAACCTGTGGCACAATATAGCATCTTGACTTCTAATTCAGTATAATCATTAATCAAGTGCTCACACTCTCCCTTGCTCTTAAAAAAAAAAAAAAAAAAAAAAAAAAAAAAGTAGTACCTGAAGTTTTAATCTAAAACATGATAAAATAAGAAAAATCTGATTTTATGTTGGGACCAGCATTCTGGTATACTGTCTCAGGCAATCAGTCCACCTTAAGAAGCAATTACTACAAACCTCTTCATGAGACGAGTGGGAAATCCTTCATTACTTATGTATGGATAACTTGCTTACGGGAAGGTTTCCATTTAACTGGAATTAAACTGAGATTTCATTTCACCTGAACCGCGAGGGCTTATATATTGCTTTTTGACATTCCTTCTAAAGCTAATAAGAACTTACGTTCTTGCTATCTACATTAATCTCTCTGAGTCCTGCTAAACTATAAACTGTGTAACTGTAATTTTTCTTACTATTACTCCACAAATCATGCATAAACTTGAAAAGCATTTGTTTTGCTCGCTATAATTTAATTTATTTCTTCAGCATTGCATTTTTATGCATATTTTTACTAAGATGCTGGATGGAAGTACCCACTCTCTTCTTTTCTGCTGCCGAGCAAACCAACATCAGGCAGCCACATAGAGGGCAGGCCAGTTCACTGCACCCTTCTCACTCAGTCTGGAGCAGGATCACTATAAAGGTCTTGAGCACTTTGTGATCACAGCTAGCTAGCTATAAGCTTTGATCTTCACTTTTCACTTGATATTATGACTCTTTTATCATTATTTCTTTTATGGGTGTTTAGGCTCTCTCACTACCCAAAATAATTCCAAATTCAGCTAGCATCCCATGCTTAGACGTGGTGCAGACCACTTAGTTCTCCCCACCACGAGAGCTCAGCTAAAGTTTGACTTTGTTAAATACGCACTCCTTCATCACACAGATGGAAGAAGCCTGCGCTTATCGTTGCTATGGTCATCTTCACCTTGCTGAGATGACTATTTTATGTATTTCTACACCCTTCAATTTCCATAGTATCTAAGCACAATCTTTCTGTCTATTAATCCCTCAAGATTCTCCAAGAGACAGAGGAGTAATATTGTCCCAGTTTTGCAAATATATTAATAACATAATAATGCACAATGGTTTCTCCAAGGTCACAAAGGGGGTCTGTGCCAACAGAAGAACTCAGTTTCAAAGATTCTGGTAGCATCACTTATCTCTATGAATCACAATGTGAATTGAACATAGCTCTGCACAGAGCCTGAGGAAGTATCCTATGAATCTGACGGCAATGCAGTAAGAATAGAGGCCTCATAACTCAAGTTTAAAAATTCCACTGCTCACAAACTCTAATTCAGTTCACTCTGTCAAATTTGGGCAACCTACTTTGGTTTCCTTAAGCTGCTTTCAATATTTGCATTTAAAAGTGTATATCCTGCAGTGCTAACCCCTTCAAATGCATCTTCTGGGACTGACTGATTACTCATGTGTATCGAAGTCAGGTAAGGAATAGAAAAACGAAAGGGAAGGATGTTCTTTGTAAACACACATTTTCTATCACCCTGCAGACATCCTGAGGATCTAGCTCAAAGCTGTCACATTCTTGTTTGTTCCATTATATCACTGCCAATACCTATGGAAGTCCCCACAAACATGCCTCAGGATGCTATTTTCTTTTGCAAGTGAACTGTTTCCATATAGTGGGTTATACTCAATTATGGGGAAATAGATGGCAGATAAATGTTACATCTTTGAGGAAACATTCAGCTTCCAGCATAGAACAGGCAGGTTGTATAGACACATTCTTACAGGGTGAACACCAGCTCTTTGATAGATTAATTTTATTTTACTCTTCTAACATTAGCACTCAAAACCAGAAAATTTGAGCTTCTAAATATAGAAACCTCTGTAAAAGTGGGAAGAAAATGCTGATTTCTGCGGTATGTTATGTCTAGGGTGCTTACTTCACAGCCAACACACATTTTAACATTTTAATCTACTTAGTGATCTTTCAAGAAAAAATGCCTGCCCTCCTCCCTCTGAGAGCTAAAGTCAAATATGCAAAGTTAGGAAATGCCAAAAATAAGGCTGCCACCTCTTGCATTTTCAAAAATAACTTTTCTGAATATCCCATGGCAACCAATAGCACAGATGAAGTTGAAATAGAATCTGCAAGACCTCAGCACAGGGCCTCAAATCAAAAGAGCTCCCTGTCCCCTTTTCCAGCTCTCAGCCTCATGAGCTGTGACCGAAGCAAGAGAAGACTCCTGTAGCAAACAGTACACAGTGTACAACAGTAAATACAGGCAAGATCAGGAGAGGAGAAGTGGAGAACCCAACTGCATTTTTGGGGCAACGATCTACACAGACTTAGTGCTACTTTGTAGAAGGAACTAGAGCTCTGCCTCTGCCCTTGGATAAAACTCTGTATCTTGTGTCAGTGGTGGTTTGCTTTTGCATGGAGATCCTCTCTAGAGGAGTCCATTTGGGCTGCTGCACACTGGGTCACACGCCAGACGTATAGTCAAGCGAGAGTGTATAGCATATGACAGTCATACATCCAGCCACATGACATGGTAGGACACATGTTGCAAGACATCTGGGGATTATGTCCTCCAGCTGGATTACCTTCAAAGGGAGGGTGGCCTTGCCAGAAAAACAGCACAGCTGCAACACAGCTTCTGTCCCATGAACTGACCTAAATGTCAGATGCAGCCATTAGCAGATCTCAGATCAAGCCAATACGTTAAATTTAGCACACAGGAACACAGAGTGAGAGAAAAGCTGCAGTGATTCTCCAGAAAATGTGTGAGGTTTAAGCAGAGTGTGGAGCCAGTGAAGTGGAAATTACCTGAGCTTTGCACCCAGTGCATGTGACACAACAGGTTGGAGGACCTTTCAGCATTTTCAGCAAAAGCAAACAAAAACCTTAACAAACTCCACGGAGAAAATCAGCTACCATATTTCTAGGAGCAGGAAAGACTACTCTTTGATTGCAAAGTTCACCTTGCCAAGTACAACTTCAAGCTTCAAGACATAGTAGGGCTGAAGGTCTTCAAGAAAATGACAGAGAAAACCATTAAATCTTGCAACTAGTTCCTTCTCATCTAATCTGCAGAAATCGCAACATTGCTGGAACTTGGAGTTTAAGCTTGCGTCTAAATGAGAAATAAGGCACAGGCAATTTCAGCCTTGAGGCTTAAATTTTGGTCAAGTTATTAGCACCCCAAAAAGGGTCTCATAATCAGCAGTGTGAAGGATAATCATTAGCAGTGCCCATACTGTGTGGGAAAGTGTAACTACCAACACTTCTGTTCAGACTTGCAGGACAGACATCAGGGACAGTTAATCAACCTTCATACTTTGTAACATGCAGAACTCTCTCCTCCACCACCAGTGAAGACAGAAGTGTCTTGCAGTTAAAGTAATCAAGAGTGGTGATCAGTAATACAGAGCAAAAAAGTGAAACCGAAACAGGCTGCATTAAAAAAGAAAACTTAACCTCTTGCACCATTCTCCCTCTTCTCTAGTAAAAGCACTGTTATGGTGTTATTAAAAGAATAACCGGGACCACTGAAGGAAGTTTAACATAAAATTAAGCACTACGACTGAAACAGTTTGTAGGCAACACTGCAAATTTTAAGTAGTGTATATGTGGGGTTTTATTTTTCTACAGGACATAATTGAAGCCTCTAACTCCAGTAAAGAACATTTCTACAACTTTAATGGATGAATCCAAAATAAACACCTCACAAAATCTCAGCTTGCAGGGGGATGGTCAGAGAAAATTTACTGAGAGAAAACATCTAAATTTAGCTAACTCCTCCGTCCCTCTCTTTTTTTTCTAGATAACCAGAACTCAAAGCCCCTTTTCCCTATTGACTAATACATTACAGAAGCTAATAAATGAGGATCAAAGGAAGGGGCAAGGAGTCCAGCGGCTTTTCCTTCTGTGTGTCATGGGAGATTTCCTGTCATGACTATCCCTTCACTAACCCGGGAGGCTTTTGCAGTCTTAGCACTGCCTTGGAGATCACACCTACTGAAATTCTGCATTATGACTTGGACAGGCTTTCACGTTGGCAGGCCTGAAACCATTTAGATCTTTACAGGCTGCAACTCCTAGAAAACCGCCACTTGGGAGCAAATATACAGTCAGCATATGAATATTAACTTTCCAGAGAATTCTGCAGCACTACAGACAAAGGAAGGATATGAAGAAGAATGAGGATTTTCCACAGAGATGACAGAAATTAGGTCTCCAGGTGCCACATTGCAGTAAGACTCATTTCACTATCTTGCTCCCTTTGAAAGTCCATGTTCAGTGCTTGGACAGCCTTGTGACCAAGCTTAGTACTATTGGAATACACTCAAACTTAAGTCTTGTGAATTTTAAACAATGGTCACCATGTTTGTAACAGGCAGCGGGGATTTTATAAATCTATTATCCAAATCATATGTTACTTTAGCTATTTGTTCCGCGTAGGGAGCAGCATGCAAACCAATCCCTCCAAAAAATCTGCACGGTAACAAGAGGTTACAATTCATAGCCTGCATTAGGTGAATGCAGAATCCAACCTGGGTGTTGGCAAACTTCAATCACATTGTAATGAAGCTACCGCACTGACAGAACTGCTTAGTTTTATTCCTTTGCTACGCTCTACAACACCCCTTTAGAGAGTGACATGCTATGAATCCCAGTTTACAGGCAAAGGAAAAAAGCACAGAGATACAGAGTAATAAGGTGAAACTTAGTTGCGTTCCTAATCATTGCACAGTTCTTAAGTTTTAACTCACGGCTCGTTTATTCATCCCTGTTCTGTTTCTTAAGACAGGATCTATATCCACTAAGAATGAGATTCTGAGCCAGCTTAGACACTCAGTCCAAGTTAATGAAACACTAACACTGGGACTTTTAGCTACATAAGATAATCACACTTGAACAGAAACAGTGCATCTGGTAGATTATCATTTCACGGTTTTGGCATTTTCTTTCACCAAAGTGAAGTATAAGACTTCTAAATCAACAAATACTGAATCTCTAGTGTCTGCAGTCCCCTGCTGTATCCTGTGTACTGTGCTTGGTCGCTTGAATCCAGCGTCCCAGCTGTCTTTTGAGAGCAAGTTTGATCCCCTGCCTGATCCTTCCCAGAGACAGCCTTTAAACTCATATTCTCTGTTGCTCAGATATTATATTTTATAATGGTGATATAAGAATCAAGAGAGAGAGAGAGAAGAGTAGATGGCATGTCAAGGAATCAGCTCTGAACAAATTTCTCCAGGGAATTTTTCTGGATCAGTCACTTGCAGTTTGCCTGTGGTTAGCATTGTAAACAGGATTAGAAGAAAGAGCTAGGGATTATGCGGGTAACAGTCTAGTTGGCAGAGAGACAAATTAATCACAGAAAAGCATAGGAACTGCAGCACACACTGGGCTGGACAGGTTCATGTTTGAACAGCTGCTCTGCATAAGGAATTGCCAGGATGCTCTTTAAATAAAAAAAAATTACCTTTCCTTTTCTTGATATTATTCTGATTTTTTAAACTTCATTTTACCACTTGGATTTTTTAATTAAAAAAAAATATCTGTATCTGTCATTAATGAAGCTATCAACATACACATACAGGTCAGGCCATATTTCCATGTGGGAACCACAAACAGAAAATATCGTAAGGTCTAGAGTATCTAATATATATTTGTGTGTCCTGGTTTGAGGTAAAACAGAACCAATTTTGGTCAGTAACTTTGCTTCTTAGCTGGGCCTCTCTAACTACTGAAATTAACAGCACATTGTGCAGACAATGTTCACTCTGTCAGAGTGATAAGACCAATGTTTATAGCTGATGCCCGGGCACGGTATGCAGAGAGGCTCCTGCTTATACTTATTGCTATCACACCCAAGGGCAACCAACTTTGCTATTTGCCCCGTTGGAGGGTCGGAAGTGGAAAGGCGCAGTGGGGTCCCACCTGTGGGAGGAGCGGACAGGACAGGTGACCCAAAACTGACCAACGAGGGTATTCCATCCCATCTGCCTCATGCTCAGTATAAAGGCTGAGGGATCGAAAGGTCAGCTCTCTCTCTTCCTGCAATGGCCGACGTCTGAGGAGGACTCTGTTTGTCTGCCTGCGATCCCGATCCTGAATGCAGATCCAGAATCCAGTTCCCGTCCGTCACTGAGTCAGCCTGGGACTGCCCCAGTGCCAGCCGGTGTCGTGATTGTCATCTCGGGAGCTTGATACGGTTTTGCATATATTTCATTATTTCTTTTTTTTTAAATTTTATTATTAATATTTCATTAAAGTAGTTTAGTTCCTTCTAAACTCGTAAGTCTCTTTTTCCTCCTCTGCCCCTCTCTCTGAAGAGGGGTAGAGGAGAGCATCTGTCGGTCCCATCTGGGGTCCTCCAGGTCCCCAGTAGCCGATTTGGCCTAAACCATGACATTGTGATACAAAATTCAATGTTTGAACACAAACATGGACAGCAAGATAGAAAAGTCCACCTTCAATTATTCTGCTGACAAACTGAAATGAACAACAAGGAGGTCTGTGCAATTACTGAGCATGTATGAATCAACACCACAAAATGCTAAGTGCCCCTTTTAAGATGCTACATAAATGTAGTTCTCGTAGGAATGGCTATGCTGCACCAATTCAGAGTGAGAACTGGCATAGAAAAAAAGTAGTTTAGGATTTTTCTGAGTTCTACAGTGTGTGCAAATAGGATTTTATACTCCTTATGCTATTGGTGAATGGTAAGTGATACAGATGACATCTAACAAGAAGGTGGAATAAAGAGAAAAATATGTTGCACATGCTTTCGTACTTTGTACAGTTTGACTTATCTATAGAAAGGCTGTTATTAATCCCTCTGAAATAATTCTTACCAAAATATTCCTTAGAACAGCGACAACAAAACATGCTATTAGCCAATGGATGATCTACCATTTTTTAAAACGAAATAATTGTTCTCCTTCACTTAAAAGTAATTCTGTATATATACTTTTAAAAAAAAATACACTAGCAGCACCTTTCCATTTTGCACTTAGTGAGGAATTTGAGAGCTAGCTGTCATACTACTGTTGTGTCAGATCCACAAGTACTAGAATCTTGGTGGAAATTTTCAAAAGACCAACGATCCCCAGAAACCTGACCAACAGTGAAAGCCTGTGAAATTGACTTTTACATCCTTTATTTATTTTTTAATAAATTCTCTTTTTTTTTTTTAAATTTTACCATTCTCATAATATTTGACCTAATAAAAGATACTGGACAAGCTTTGAATGGGTCAATGTTTTAAACCTGTTTAATAAAATGAGCTGAGAGAAAAGCTCTTACATGGGTAGTTTGACCAAGAGTTGGACATGAATGGGAAAATACGCTTCGTGTGAGTCTCTGCTAACTATATCAATCCTCCCCTCAGCCTGAATATGGAAGCAGGCAGCAATCTGCATGAATGGATTCTGAAAGGTAAGACAGGAAAATTTTTGAAGGGGTCAAAAAATGAAAAGGTATCAGATGAAAGAAAATCCCAATGCATCTTACAAACTATTACAAAATAAACTCCCTCTCATTTACCTTAAATTTTCTGAACTGAATTCTGACTCCAGGAATTTGAGAAACTGCTCTCTCCCCACAGGGTCCTTCAAAGCTTCATCCATGCCAAACCCCCATCGTTTCACCCTCTGCTGTCCTGGCTCTTTGCTACAGAAGACAAAAAAAACAGAACCCACAATCAGCAATACTTCAGTATTCTAATACTCGGTGTTCATAATTTAGACTAAGTCCTAAAGTTCAACTACAGATTTTTCACCTTCCAGATTGCTTATATCTGTGCAATGTTCAGAGACGAGCAACCAGGCTGTTAGTACTTACACAGGATGAAGGTAATAGGCATGCATTTAAGCAGAAGAATAATGACTTCCAGCTAGGAAATGTTACCAGATTTTAAAAGACGCATTTTTTCCCTAAACTAGAAACTAGTTACTGTAACTTTTTACACAGATTTATTAATCCATACCTCTTCCTGTCTTACAAAACTGTAAATCTGGAAAGACCAAAAGGATACTGCATTGCCCTTCTGCCTCAGTATTTTCCCGCAATACCTCTGTCCAAAATCCTCATGTTTCAAGAAAAGCCTGTTATACCCCCTTACCCCAAGAGAAGAAATAAAATTATATACCTTGCCTCCAGTTCCCAGAAAGTGGTGTCATCTGATATCCAAGGGTTTGAGGGATCAGGGGGCACAAGAAAAGGATCGTATTCCAAATACTGCTCTGTATAAGCTAATAGACTAGGAAAACAAAAGCATCAAACATTGTCATGTCAGGAGGTGAGGAAACTTGATCGGGTTACCCCAGTTAACAAGTTACCTTGCATCAACTGAACCATGGTAACCGGGTGTGCACACAATCACAAGTCAGGTACAAGCTCAGGCTAAAGTAGGGTTGCTTAAACCTTTTGAAAGTGGACCCCTGAAAAAGGAGTGGTGGCTCAGGTCTTATCGAGAGCTGAAATAAAATAAACTACAACCTAATACTTCAACATAGTTCCTTTTAGGGCTCCTTTAGGCACTAATAAATTAAATCAAGCAACCTCTTCCATGTACATTTGCTTTCATAAAGGAACACATTTTATACCCCTACGGTTTTAATTATCAGTTCCTTTAAAATCTGTTCTAAAACACTGCATGCTATTCAGGTCATATTTATTGGCCCTCCAGCTGCTGGGACTCCTTTTTTTCTCTTTTAAATACAGTTAATATTTTCCTTATTTCCAAATCAAATGGCACTACCCCCAAGTTTATTGCTTTCCAAAGAAACCCTTTTCCAAATTCTTCAGTATTCACGAATTGGTTCTGACCCAGTTGAACACGCTAAAAACTTTGCTTGTATTCTCGTAATTTACATCTCCCATGCCCTTATTCCCACTTCCCATGTTTCCTTTTTCCTCATAATTATTGAAAAATTAAATGAGGACAAATATTCTCTCTTTTCATTCCTATTTATATTTAGTCTGTATTCCATTTTTAGTGTTCAGCAAACACAAATTCTTAACCTGTTCTCTTTATAAATATATGTGTTTGTATGTGTATGCCTATATACACATACGCACAAATGTATATAAGAGAATGAAGAACCATTTGTATTTGGCTTAATTTCCTTTACTAAGTCTTATGCAGCTCAACTTTCTGCTATTTTCAGTAGTTCTGTATTTGATGTGTAAGATAGAGCATTCCTTTTCTTTACCTCTTCTCTACTTAAGATGTAGTTAGTCTTTCCAAGGGGCTTTTTATTTTATTTGCTCTCTAGCCCCTTCTTGACAAATTTTCATCTTATTTGGAGAAAGATTCCTACTAGTGTTACATCCTCTGACCTGAAGTAAGCTCAGACTGACTTTGTTCAAGCACTGAGCTCCTCACCCAGGCAGCTCTGCCGATTGGTTCCCTTGCTTTGTCACCGATTGCCCTTTTGAAATATCAAAACAGTAACCCCAGACCTATTTCTATTTAGTTTGCCTGCCAATGCAAGGTGAAACTTGTGACCGCTTGGTCAGAGGCTCCTTCAGTCACTCTTGGGTTTATCAAAAATGTATCACGGAATATCTGGGCCATCTTTTACCAATAAAAGAACTTCCTACCTCCCACTTAAAGTAAACTGTCATCAGTTATTTCTATGACACCTGAGCTCCTTTGTCTCTCTTTCTTTGAAGCTGTTTCATACTGACATTTTCCCAATAGTTATCAGTCTAACTGAAAAACCAGAAGATGTGACAATATACTTACCTCTCTGCAACTTTTGACATTTTTAATCTATGTCTGTCTAATTGCATTTGCCAGTGCTTAATCTGCAAGAAAGGGAGGCAAAGAGTGTTATGAGTAATTCATTGTTTGACTCTATTTCCATAACTTTTTTATTAGGGGCTATAATTTAACCTTAATTTATCCTAGGGCATAGAAGAGAAATGTATCTGAGTTAAAACAACATTTCACCAGCGTAGTTCTAAAATAAATGGAATTTTCCATAAAAGAGAAAAGATCACACAGAGACAAAAAAAGAACCCAATATAATATTTTCCCTAAACATTCATCAACAGAAATCCAATTAGCCTTTTTTTAGATTTTTTAAGGGAACTACTAATTCTTCGGAAATTTACCTTCTCCCAATTCTAACGCCTCAGGAAAGATTAATGAAGCATGAACAGTAGATAAATGTGTGAACCCAGATGTGCATACGTGGAGTGGTAAGTACACTCCCAAACCTCAAATCAGTGTTGAGAGGAAGAGCAAGTTGTCTACTGCTAAGCAGGCTAATGATCTTAGCTATGCAGAGAACCCACTAACTGGCCTGCTGCTAGCTGCTTTTAACTGCTTGATGCAAGATACAAAAAATATCAGGTGTTTAGTTTTAATTAGTTTAGTTAATTAGTTAATTAGTTTTAATAGAAGCTACTCACCTAAATCCACATATCCTGAAACAAGGATAAGGTTTACTAAACGTTTGCTAGATCTGTTCTGAACTACTTCCCAGTTACAATAATTTTTGGTTTAATACCTACTTCCCTAAAATGTTCATATAAAAGTACATGTTTGTAGTTATTTTTCAAACCTCTTGGTGTAGTTCATCTTCTGTAGGTGGCTTAGTCTCTGGTACTGGTGTGTGGGTAGGGCTGTGACTTCGAATGTCGTTTTGTAAGCCATAGACAGACTATGCAAAAAATACGGAACAATGACAGTTGCTTTCAGACAATGCTTTCTACACATACCCATACTAACTGTGATGTTTTAGTACAGTATGCTCAAGATGTTAGCCAAGATAAGCTTTTTCTGAAGAAACTGCAAATAAGCCATGCACTCAGATAAAATTGTGCCTCTGTACCATGGTGTAAAATAACTCCCAAAATCCCACGATTTCATAATGCCATAGAACACAGGTTCTACTTTTATTATGTGTCAATATTAACAGCATAGTAAACGTGGGGGATGATGCTGAAAAGCAACTATTACAGTAAGTGGAGATGACCAGTAAGAAAAGAAGAAACAGCATGCCGAAAGGTAGACTATCACAATTCATTGTTTGGATGATTCCCAAATTTGCAATTACTGCTTCATAAATTACAATCATCTGGATCTTTCACTACCATAAATAAGCTAAGCTAAAACTTTCTCTAAATCCACCTTCCTTTTTAAAACATATTTTTCCATGGGTTGACACGAAAATATACCTTGAAGGGAGTACTTTAATATTGGAGTCAATCCACATTATTACCATACAAAGGATTTGAAAGAAAGTGTTCCAATCCATCTACACATCCCCAGAGAACTTACACTGTTCATGTCTGGATCATAATTTAGATGAAGCTAATTTCCTCCACAATTTCTGGTCATCCATTTGGGGCTTAATTGTAAACTAGAGACACCCTTTTCATTAAGGCCAGCACAAGAACTGCTGTTATAGTTTACACGGCATTTTTAATTGATTTTTCCTTAATTACTGACGGAAACATTTTAACATGCTTTGTTCAATCTACTACATGAATAAAGCACGCAAAATTGAATTTTATTTTCATATTCTCTATGTATTTCTCCAAAACCTTTCTTATGTGATAGTATTTACTTAGTATTAGCAAATTTGTTAATACTAATTCATTTAAGAGTTTATGAAATAATAACATACATACATGTATGTTATCTTTGCAGCTGTAAGAAAAAATCGTTTTAAGAAACTATGGAACTTCATAAATATATAATATATATAAAATTTACTTCCACCTCCTGCTTTTAATATAACAACAGTACTTACCTTTCTTGTTTTATGTGGATTTCTCATTCTTGAAGATTTTTTTATATCCACTTCAGTAGTGTTCACACATCCAGGCTATTAAAAGGAAAAGAAAGGAAAGCACAAGGATAAAATCTGCAAAGGAACTCCATATTCTTTTCATTGAGATACTCCTCCTCAGTTTGCAAGGCTAAGAAAACAAATAACCAAAGACACAGCATAACTTGATGTACTTCTGCAATAGTCCCTAAAACCTAAATAACATAGAGCCTAAGGAAGCATCTCAAGTACCATTTTATCTGGCTTATTGTAAGAGAGAATCTTTTGCTATTCAGCCTTGTTTACTGGACCCTATGATGGTTTTTAGGACAAGTTTTACTGTATATCTTTATGTTGAAAGTACCGAAAGCAATGTACAAAGGAGCAGAAAATATCTGAATGCATATTATAAGACATGCTTGCAGCACAGAGAGGTATTAATTCAAATTAAATTGCTATTGGCAGTATTTGGGAATTTTGGAGTGAGACACTGAAGACCACATGCTTAGAGCTCGTGACATCATGAATTTGAAATAAAAAAAATTCTCAAGATAACAGAAACAAATTACATATTTCTGCTTTGGTTTTGCCAAGGAAGCCATACAATGTGCCTTCTAGCTATCCCTCTAAGAAGCATGGTTGACCAAATGAGAAAAAATAAATAGAATTGTGCAGTAGCCACTTCAGCTGTGAACCCCAGGCTCCCTTCAGTAGCATCTGGGTTTGGGTCACTTTTTGAAAGATGATCTTTTCTCCAAAAAGATGAAAAAAATGTGCCAAAATGGGACTTGTTTCAAAGAGAAGAAATAGAAGAGAAGGGAAGGGAAGGGAAGAGGAAGAGGAAGAGGAAGAGGAAGAGGAAGAGGAAGAGGAAGAGGAAGAAGAAAAGAAAGAGAGAAGAAAAGAAAGAGAGAAGAGAAGGGAAGGGAAGGGAAAGAAAAAAGAGAAAAGAAAAAGGAAAACGGAAAAAGGAAAAAGGAAAAAGGAAAAAGGAAGGAAAAGAAAAGAAAAGCCCCCCAACACAGGTTTCAGCAGCCTAACAAGAAGACTGGCAGTCTAAACAGAATGACTCTCAACACGACTGATTTGGCTTTCAAAGATTCATTCTCACCACTCTGTAGCTTCCCAAAGGATACAAGGCCTCTATTTTCTCCTAATTCATCTTCCTTTGACACGTCCCTCTAAGTACGAACTCTGCAGAAATCTGTTCTTTACCCATTGCTGGAAACAACTAATAATAAATGTTATGCTCTCAGGTGGGTTTTACTTATCGATTTTAGAGGGATTACATTTGCCACTGAGAGTGGGAAGTACAAAATCTGCTCTCTAGCGGGAGCAGATTTTTAGTGAAAGTAGGTTGAGGTTTTTTACTGGGAGTAGCTAGATGTAGAATTTACTTGTCAGACAACCAAGCTGGACTTATTATCACACTAATGATACAAGCTTTGTTTTCTTATCATAATGTAAAATTCCTGACGTGGATGTAAATCTTCACAGACAAAAATTTTAAACATTTCTCATACAGGCAGAGCCAAGGAACAAATACATTTCATTAAACAGGCCAATGGTACTTTGTCTCTGGAAATATTTTAAATAACACACTGTTGGTTTTTGTTTTTTTTAATGCAGTATGATTTTAAAATCAATAAGTAAGTTTTTATTATGAAGTAATACAATAACGTTTGTTTGATCATATTACATTTGCAGTATAAATAGTTCCTCATCACTAAGAATAAAACCAGGCACATAGATAATAGTCTCAAGACTGCTGAGCTAGATTTGGGAAGGTACACTTTGTGCTTGTGAACAAAAATGGTAGCTTTTTAAACTCAGAATAACTTGCAGCTCTCAATGACAGACTGAAAAATACAAAATCCTGCATGATGGTCAATTTAAAGGCAGAAAGCAATTTCACAGGGCAGTATACTGAGATATAAAGTTAAAAAGAAAACAATGTGTCTACTTTAGGATTATGGCAGCAACTGGCAGTGAAGATAAGCTTTTAACAGCATCTACAGCCCTTGAATGCAGCCATTTGAATAGCAGGCACACTTACATAAGGCACAAACTGTTATTTGTTTAGTTTTCAGTTATGGTTTGTTAAAAGCATCTCCTAAAATGGGGAGGGGAAGAAAAAAAAAAGGACAAAAAAAGGCATAAACCTCATCCAAAGCCTTTTTCAAGTCTACCAGCAGTAAACTGGTATGAACAGTCCTAGCACCTCACCCAGGTAAGTTAGATGCCAAAGCTGTGCATATTGATGCAAGGGACACAACAATCCCACAATCCCACAATCTGGGAGATTTTTAGGAATGAAACAAGGGTGAAGCTTTTGCTGGTTGGAAAGAGACCCAACCCAATACCGACCTTCTACCGCATCTAGCGGATTGTTACTGACACCTGGCTGTTTAAAACCTCTCAGGCTGCAGTAAAGCTGCCGTGGCATAGTTCAGCAGAGGCACTCAGGAGAGGCTGTGAGGGCAGCAAGTGGACCAAGGTGTGACCTCAGGGGAGCCCACAGGAGAGCAGCAGCAGAAAGGCAGAGGCAGGGAAGCATCAGGAAGCTTCAGTGCAAAAGGGAAGGCAGCCAAAGGCTCTATCACTACTCTGGCAACCTGGGGTAACAATAGGAGTTTAAGACATATATCACTACCGCTATACAATACCATTCTCATAATTTGATTTAAATTATATCACTGAAAGTACCTAATGTAATCGGGGCCACAATTAATGTTTTCTTCTCAACTGAAGAATATTTATTAAAATGATACTTGTCGTGAGATGGGATTTATTGTTTCTCTGGTGTTGCCCCACTTCATCTGTCAATTTTTGGGAATAAATATCAAACATCTTTTCAATTAAAACAAACACAAAAGCTTGCATTATTTGACCATTTTGCTAAAATAACTCAGAGTCTTTCTGAGAAAACCTTTGCTGGACAACATTTCATTTTATTCGTATGCCCCCATTAACGTAATAAGTATGTGTGTGGATACAATTACATCCAGCTGTGTTTTCTTTTTGTGTTGCTTTTTTAACTGGACTACCATAGTTCAAATAGTGAGATGCCTGTCAAAGTGCTCTGCTGCAAGATTCCCATTTAGTATGTAGTATATAATTTGCATACTAATACTGTAAATAGTTTTCAAACAGATTTCCTGGAAGACTTGAAACCTCTTCTATATGTGTAAATAGAATGCTTATTTCTTTCAAGACTAATATTCTGTATGAAAACAGTTCCCCCTCCACACACACAGAGCAAAGGCTTGTGACCTTGTTGAAATGATTATACAGCAAGATCATAACCAGGGGAGAATTTGCCCCTTGTCTGTTTTTAAATAGCCATCTGAAAAACTGTCACATATTCAAAGGAAACTTAGTTTCTTTTCATCCATCTGTTAGCATGCCCTTATCTCAAAGTACAAATGTCACTGTATTAATTTACAGCAAAGGACGTGTCAGTCCAGTCACGATAAATTCACTGCTGAGATAAATGGATGAGGATAAATAATATAAAAAAACATGTATAAAAGATTTTTTAATCCCCACTTCAATTTTTGGATAATCACATTAGTATGAATTCCAAGCAGCACAACTTTCTATTGATGCTGTCTAGGAGGCTTCATAATAGGATTCTGCTAAGAAACAGTGGAAGGAGGAAGCCTTCTCTGCAAGGAGAGGATGATCAAGATCTCCAGGTCCAAGAACTTATATGCTTGGACCTGGCTACAGACAGTATTTGAAAACTGCAACCACCCGAGAGAATGTTTAGTTAAAAAAAATCCACTTGAAATTCATAATCTTTCCCTGATAACCGTGGCAACAGTGAATTAATTAATTAAGCCCTTGTAATAGTGCTAACTGAATTAATTTTTTGACACCTGTAGCAACTCTCTGGAAGAATTCGTTGTTTACATCAAATGGGAAGATTTAGCCATTGTGCATTGCCATCCAAATAGTGCAGAATACCTCGTATTTATAATCTGTTTGCTGTACAAAGTTGCATATTCCAAGGGCCCTTTTTATTGCCTGGCCGCAGAGCCAAAATCAATTGCTATCAACACCTTTTTGTGCAAAAATCTCTTTGCTATGATGTAGCTGTAATTCTAGTAAGTCTGAAATCCTAAACAGAAAGTAAATGAATGTTTATAATGATGTCAGTTTAAGTTTTGATGTTTTTTTCTTTCTTAAAAAATATGTCAATTTAACTGTGAATCTATTTAAGCCAAATAACCAGAAGTTTCCTTGTATCTGAGACAAATACACCCATGTATGTGGGAGGGAATAAGCTCATGCATTGCAATAGGCTGGGAACTGTCTGTCTGTATTGCTCTGTAGAAAATGATCTGAGGGAGAAGCTGAACGTGAGTCAGCAGTATGTCCTTGCAGCAATGCAGACAAACACATACCCAGCTGCATTAGCAACAGCATAGCCAGCAGGCAAAGGAAGTGGTTATTTCTTCCTACTCGGCATCACGAGGATACATCTGGAATACCAAGACTACTTTTGGGCCCCATAAACAACACGAGAAATATATTCAAAACGGAAAAGTCCAGTGGAGGAACAGACTTTTTTCTGTCTGCAAAAGGGGAGCTCTAACTCCTGCCTTCTGCTGCCTAAAAGGGGCTTGCAGAGCTAGACCTGTTCCATGCACCATGAAAGGACAGGAGGCAATAGTCAGAAACTGCAGTAAAAGAAATTCCAGTTAGCTATAAAGAAATATTCTGCATAATAAGAGGAAGAAGTTGCTTAGGAGAGGCTTTGGAATCTCCATCCTCAGTGATTGTCAAAGCTTGTTTAACCAAGGGCCTGGACAACCTTATTCCATTTAAAAGTTAGCACTGCTTTGAGCAGGAAATTGGACTAGAGGACCTCCAGAGGTCCCTCTCAGTCTACATTTCTGTGGTACAGCCTATGATCTTCACCAGCTGCGGGGACTGAAATTCAAATAATCCACCTTGCAAAACACTCCAATCAAGTATTCACAGCCATGTGACATTCATCACCCTGCCCTCTCCTCCCTGCAACAGCGGGACGGAAAGACAAGACTGGTATT